GTGATTTGACTTGTGTGTGTGTGTGTGTGATTGTGTGTGTGATTGTGTCTGTTACAGTGATAAGAGTTTAACCCTTGTTAAACTTTAGGCCTTGTCTTTTTGGATATATATCTTTTTATATTAAAAAATAGTCATACAACCCATATATTTTAAATGTATTGTTTGCTTTAAATTACATTAAGATTGTATGTTTGGTAATTGAACCTGAATGAATTTTAAATGAATGTGCTATATTTCAGATCATATATTTGTTTTCCTTAAAATTTGAACTAACACTCACTTTATTCTCATCTGAATGATAGATTATTTATTTCTGTATAAAATAAAAACACATTTGATTTTTCTTTTTTAATCAATGTAGAATGTGTAACTGAAAAAATAAACAGATTAGGGCTCTGATCGAGGACAATAATGTCAAAAAAAGAATCAGGGCATGTCTCATATCTTTCTAAAATGTAATTATACACCATTTATTTTTATATAAAATTATACAAATATTAGAACTAAACCCATTTTATTCCTTTTTTTCAATTTAAGAATTATTTTTAAGTTTAAAAACAGCCAGAATGGTTGTTTAGTCAAAAATAATAATAATCCAAATCATATATAGTGCTATACTGCCCTCTTGTGTTCAAAATCAGGTAGGCCTATTGAATTTATATATTTATATATTAGGGATGTTACTATGGGAATATTTTCCCACCGGTTAATCAACGTGTGATTGTGTAAACAAATTGTGTAAACCTCCCGCTGGGGGGTTTAAAAACACTAACTTGAAAGCGAAAGTATAATATGGACGTCCGCACAGACATTGAAATGGTGGCGCTCGAATGAATTCCTATGGAAGTAGAAATTAACTAAGCGTTCGCTCTGTTCTGCTCGCTCGTCGCCATGGACGCGCACCATTATGAATGCCAGTGCAGCCGCATACTTTTTAGTGTCACTAAAATTAGTGCAATTTCGGGGGCCGATTGCTTGAATTGTGAGTTCAATAGTCTATTATTTTTCACGGAAAACACAACAATAAAAGAGTACAATGACAGATTCGCTTAAATAGGCGTTTTTACATAAAATAGCCTATTCCATCATCATCTTTTCAGTCAGCTCTTCACTCTCGTGATTAATGAAATTTGACTCCTGTTGCTGATATTTGCTGCAACTTTCGTTCAGCTCACAATTTAGTAAGCAAACACGTTTCAAATGTGTTTTTATTTTATTTTTGTGTATGTGTGTGTATATGTATGCATATATATAAATATAGCTTATGTTTCAAATATGAGTTAATTAACAATCGTTGGAAAGAATGATACTTTTAAACATAACACTAAACCGTCATTAGGTGTCGCCAGGCGACCGTCTTAATGAGCGAGTCATTGATTCATTCGTTTGAACGACTGAGTCATTCATGAATGAGATAGATGTTTATGGATTGATTGGTCATTGAATCTTTGAGTCAACCGATTCGTTCAAAATGCTGAATCATTCAGTAATGAGAACGCGTTGCTGTGAGATGCGCGATGGTTCTGCTGTGATCTTTGTTTAACTATTTTCGCTGCTGAAACAGAAAAAAAGTCAATATTGCATGTAAAATGTAAGTGATTTGACTTGTGTGTGTGTGTGTGTGATTGTGTGTGTGATTGTGTCTGTTACAGTGATAAGAGTTTAACCCTTGTTAAACTTTAGGCCTTGTCTTTTTGGATATATATCTTTTTATATTAAAAAATAGTCATACAACCCATATATTTTAAATGTATTGTTTGCTTTAAATTACATTAAGATTGTATGTTTGGTAACTGAACCTGAATGAATTTTAAATGAATGTGCTATATTTCAGATCATATATTTGTTTTCCTTAAAATTTGAACTAACACTAACTTTATTCTCATCTGAATGATAGATTATTTATTTCTGTATAAAATAAAAACACATTTGATTTTTCTTTTTTAATCAATGTAGAATGTGTAACTGAAAAAATAAACAGATTAGGGCTCTGTTTGATGACAAGAAATGAAAACCAATGCGATATGATGAATGTCCAAAAGATGGCTCCCACAGACTGTTTTTAAATAGGATTGTTTGATATTTTTTGCTTTTAAACTGTGTGTGTGTGTGTGTGTGTAAGAGATTTTGGTTGGGTGACAGTTGTAGTTTACAGTTTGACAAGAGTTTATAGCTTGACAAAAGCACAATGTTGTGTTTTATTGCAAGTGTACACAAATATAAGTAAACACTTTGCAGTTTGAATAATGTCCTGTATGAACAAAAGGACGGAGTATGTTTTTATGTCTACATTGTTCAATTACGCCACACACACACACACACACACACACAAACACACACACACACACACACACACACACACACACACACACACACTATTTTTCTAATCAGATCAGGCAAGTAATATTCTGTCTTGTCTCTTAAAAAAACAATATATATATATTTATGTATATATATATATATATATATATATATATATATATATATATATATATATATGTGTGTGTGTGTGTGTGTGTGTTTGTGTGTGTATATATATAAATATAGCTGCGAGCAGCGATGAAAGGGCCAAAGCCGGCGGCACCGCCACCCCGGTTATAGCGCCACCAACTGGCAGCAGGAAGTCTGTCACTTTCAAAAAGCTTTGAAATCACCTGATTGCTTCAAACTTCACTACTATGATGTAAACACAAGGCAGATGTAGACCTGGATGTAGACCTGACCTTTCAGAAGGTTGCTCTCGCATACTTTGTGGTTGATATGTGCCCTCAATGCACACTTTTGCAGAGCCCACACTGATACAAGCTCTACAGCAAACTTCTTTTCGACAGTCAAAGCAGGGTTACGTTTTTGCACGTCGTGCACAATAACCCTAAAGGCACCAGGGTGGCGGTGCCACCGGCTTTATATATATATATATAAATATAGCTGCGAGCAGCGATGAAGGGCCAAAGCCGGTGGTACCGCCACCCCCGGTGCCTTTAGGTAACTAAAGGCACCGGGGTTGCGGTGCCACCGGCTTGGGCCCGTAATCGCTGCTCGCAGCTATATTATTTATTTTATTTTTATTTGTTATTTATATATTATTTTATTGCCATTACCCGTTTTCATACAGAAGTTTAGTTTGCTAAATATATATTTTTTTTAGTTGGATATTGGATGTGAAAAGGAAATGGTTCTTCCATAACACTGCACTTAGATGTGTGTGAATTTCCCACACCAGGAGTAATTTATATAGTTCTATTTTATAGCGATTATCTGTTCAAAAAAATGTTCTTTGCAAAAATGTTCTATTAAAGAAAAGATAGAAAATAAATATTTGTGTGTGCTGTAAAGTGGTTTGAAAAAAAGAAATCGGAATCGGCTAAAATCGGAATCGGCAGGTCAAACTCAAGGAAAAATCGGAATCGGGATCGGCCTAGAAAATTGTAATTGGTGCATCTCTACAACCAACACAAGTTTCGAAAACGAAAATAGGGAATCGATTTTAACTGCCTTTTTTTTTCTTTTTCTTTTACCAAAAATGTGTTTTAGGTGGACAGATCAATACAGCACACAGAACATGTAGGACGCTGGACAATAACAATGTCTTTTCTGTTCACCAAATGCTTTTTAATATTCGCTATTACTTCAATGCAAGTGAACAAGCGCGCCGTTATTTGTTGCGTAGTGACGTGTGCGTGTGTTCAAGTAAGCCAGAAATGCGCAGATTCTGTGCAATACGCTGTTTAATATATCATGAGGACTCACGAGTTGCACTAAATCAGGTTTGGCTTACACGAACTTCCCTAGCAAAGTGAGTAAACACGCCAAATTGTCTCGTGATTTGACAGCGTTTCCCACCAAAGTTCATTTTTACCCGCATTTGGCAGGTCAGAGGGTGTTAATTTCAATCCCTGAATGTTGCACTCCTGTTTGTCATTGTGCACGAAACTTCACGCCAATAAATCATCAGAAATATTGCTGACTTGTGCGCGTCTCAAGCGCCCTCTTTACGCTCGTCCTAATGCCTGTTAGGTGTCCGTGGATTTGCCTATATTTGGTGTTGAAAATGGAAACGTCTTTAGATGGAAAATCGATTTTACAATCGATTCAATGAACACTTATGACTCAAAAATCGAACAGGATTTTTTCACAAAAGTGACAGCCCTAGTACTAGTACAGCCACCAGGATCTTACTGGAACTAGAAAGAGGGAACATATTTCGCCTGTTCTTGCTTCGCTTCACTGGTTGCCAGTCGAATATCGTGTTAAGATCAAGGTTTTGTAGTATGTGTATAAGGGGTTAAATGGCCAGGCTCCTCACTACATTACAGATCTTCTTCTCCGTCCACCGGAAATGTTCAAGGCCCTTAAGGTCTTCAAACAAGTTGATGGTGACTGTGCCACGATCTAGATTGAAGTCGTACCTTCTCTGTTCTCTCCCTGCTGTGGAATGATTTGCCGGAACACTTAAGGCTGTCTTCAAATGTTGATAGCTTTAAATCCTCACTAAAGACTTATCTTTTCTCTCTGGCTTTTGGTTCAATGTAATTTTATGAATTTGTGTGTGTTCCTGTTTATGTATTTTATTGTCGTACAGCACTTTGGTCAGCAGTGGCTGTTTTAAATGTGCTCTATAAATAAAAGTGCCTTGCCTTACTATTATTTAGGGCTGCGCAATATGGACAAAAAAATATTTATCTCGAAAAAACTGTTGTAAGAAACTTGCATCAAACCTGACACGTTTTCCCCCCAAGCAATAGGCTAGTTCTCTCCTACATATTTTATGCTGCTTCATAAAAGCCTACATTGCAAAATATTATGTTGACAAATAGGTTCACAGTGCATCTCATAGTGTTTTCTGCTGAGTTTGCCACTCTACATACAGTAAAAATAGGCCCAACCCCTAATGGCACGGACGTGTTCTCCTCCAGGTCTACACTGTGCCACATAGGCTGTTTATAGCTGATAGAAATCCTGTTCCTGATATTCAGCGGATTCATGTAGATAAACTCTACCTGTAAGTCATGGCTTCAATGAGGAAGGGCTGGTTTTCAGCCACCGCTCTGCGTCGCGCCTCCTTCGTGGCGTTGTACACTGCAAAAACATCATTTCCATCGACACGGATCGACATCAGTCCATATCCTGGACCTCGAGCAGCTTTGGACGAAAATTGAGAAAAAGTAAAAAATTAGGCCAATGAAATACAGAGATTCACATGGGAGTCTGTGGCGAACGCAGTTACTTACCAATACCATCGCCTCTATACTGCTCATTGGTCGGTGTGGAGATAGCATAACCGTTATTACGGCAGAAGAATATGAGAGGACACTCAAGAGTGGTGGAGAAGTTAAATCCAGCATGTGCGTCTCCCTCACTGGCCGCCCCCTCTCCGAAGTAACAGATCACCACACGGTTTGCGTTCTCCCGCTTCACTGCGTACGCCGCGCCGGCCGCTACAGCAGGAGATACAGATCAATGCTCTTATTCACATTTACACTACTGTTCAAAGAAAAACATACTTTTATTCAGCAAAGATGCATTATTTGAGCTTAATTGAGCAAAACTGAGAGTAAAGTAAAGAGTAATGGCTGCTAAAATTAGTCATTAACTATTGTTTATTAAAATAGGAAACAGTTCAATTGTAATACTGGTTTTATTGTTTGACTGTTACTCTACCAGTGGGTCACAAGATGGTTTTGAGTGGTTCGCGGAGTATGTAGAAAGAAACAACAACAAACGTAATTCTGAATATCTTTTAGATACGAGACTTTTATTTTGAAAGATGTGCATAAAAGCTGTTGACTCTTCTGTGAGACGCAGTTTACTGTTAGTAAAGAGTGCCTGAGAAAAACATGTTTTAGTATCTGCTGTCAGATGAGATGTTGTCAAGCTATGTCAGTGTCATAACTGGTTACAAAATAAAAGCCTCTCACCTCAGGAAAATGACCTTTCCTGTCCTGTCAGGAATTGTATTGTGCTCAATGTGGAGTAGAGTGCGGATCGGGCCGCATTTTTCTGTCCGAGCCCGGCCCGCGTCCGACAGGGCAGTAACCGAACCCGACCCGAGCCCGACAGGCATTAAGATATTTATGTCCGAGCCCGACACAGTTAAAAATAAAAAATAAAAAATTCTCATAGCCTACTAATGACACGTACGTTTGTTTGTGTAGAAAGCCCGCTTTTATTTAGCAACTGGAAGGCATTCGGAAATGTTTACAGATGTGCGCAACACATCAGCGTGCGCCGCACACGGCCAACAAAGCGCATGTTAACACAGGCGCGCACAAGTGGCCCAAACAAATAGCCAATTGAAATTAAATGAACAAAGCTAGGTCTACCAAAAATTGCCCAAGTTAACAGAACAAAACATTAACGTAACACAAATGCAGCTTATTGAAATGAAAATCACTCTAACCATTTTTCCTCGAAAACTGTGTGGCTAATAAAACTGTAACATGGCATCTATTCACATAATCCATCTTTTAATGTTTAGGCTGGTTTTAAAATCTCCTGAGACCAACTTCTTTTTAACGTCTTCCATCGTTGCGCTGCTAGCCACATGTAGCCAAATATGCAATATTATGCACGCACGTGTTGCGCGTTGTCACAGCAACATAAACTAATTTCCGCACACATGAAGATGGATGTTAGGGTAATATTTTAAATTTATTTTAATCACAAAAACAAACATTTGCATCCAGTTAAACATTATAATAAGCTGTTTTAAATTTCAAATGTTCAATGCCTTATTGCGCCGACGTGACCGAGCCCGACCCGAACCCGAACGTCATTTCAAAATATGTGTCCGAACCCGGCCCGGCCCGTCGGGTCCCGTCGGGCTCGGTTCGGGTATCCATCCTCTAATGTGGAGGTGCGCGCTGTATATCACGTCACTATATATAAAAAGCAAATTAAATTACGTCATAGTTGGCTATGTCGTGTGTTGGCTGAGAAGGATTTGCATGATGTTCCATCCGTTCATCAGGATCAGTGACCATGTTTTATTAATAGTTCATGTTAGTATTGTGCAATATCCCAAAATGCCACTTTATTTTCACTTTGTGCTGTTTTATATAAAATATATAGTGGTGGTTCATACCAACTTTATTGTATTTACAAAAACTAGTTTGAGACTGCTAATTAATACTTACCTTATATTGTACATTCATCAGTGTTAGTGATATTCTTACAATTTATGTGTATGTAACGTTAAGTGGGACGGTACATTTTTGTGTGTCAACCATTTTTGAGAAATGAATTATCTTGGTTCAAACTCCTAAAACTTTGGGTCGTGCCATAATGACCATGGGAAACTGTGGGTCTCACTTCTTTCAAAAACATCAAAATCAGACCATAATTTTTTTAATAATAAATACTCTGGATGGTCTGCGTAACAGACATGCTCACTTCTTACCTTGGGGGATCTGAGTTGCAAGTGGTGAGGAGATGGTGACAAAATTAAGGTCTTTGGAGCCATAGTGAACTGGCATTTGTCGGCCCTTGCCAAGGTCATCTGCGTTTGCGTAGCACTGTGCCATAAACATATCCAGAGGGAAGCCTCTGTACATCAGTACACCTACAGAAATGCAGAAAAAAATATATTACATTTAATCAAATATTGCTACATACTTAAATTGTGTTAAATAGAATAAGTAAATATTATGTTAAGTCAAATATTAACACAAAATGTATGTTTATTCATCAGTGTTGGGGAAAGTTACTTTTAAAGTAATGCATTACAATATTGAGTCACTCCCTAAGTAACTAGTTGTGTTACTTAGTTACTTTTTGAGGTAAGTAATGCGTTGTTACTTTTGCGTTACTGTTTCTCATCAGGGGTTGCTTGTTTGTTTTCAATAACAAATAAGTTATATTTATGGCAAATATCAGGACCCTTTCTCACCAAAAGTGAAAAGAATGAGCCTCAGGCTAAAGGAAATGCTAATTCACTTCCGTGCAGTACAAACAAACCTTTCAGCTGTTCGGGATCACAGAAGAATAAGAAAGTTCAACATTCTTACTTCAGCATAGACATCATTGGTTAATAAAGTGAGATCATGCCGTCTTCGCGTGCTATCGAAAATCATACTTCCCAACTTCTTAAGTTGTGATTACCAGCTCGTCGCATTCAAGACCTTTGTTGTCGAAAAGAACAGGAATCACGGAAGATACCAGGTTTATTCTTGCCTATTTATTGGGAAAATGTTCTTAAAGTCAAAATTATATTCATTGACAACCATTCTGTTAATTTCTGTCAAATACAGGCTATTTTCACTGTGTATAAAACATACAATATGCTTCAAATGATTATTTATACATGTAAATATGCACTACTTTACCAACAAGCAATGAATTGTTCACATTTAGTCTAGATCTACAATAAGAATAATGTAACGCCTCTGCACTCACTCCTGATTTCTCTCAACATGAAGACAGGAGAGCCGTCAGTCAATACATGAGAAAACAAAGTGACTTGCCGTACTGGTTTGAAAAAGTAACTCAGATATTTCGTTTAGTAATGCATTACTTTACTTGTTACTTGAAAAAAAGTAACGCTGATTACACAACTGATAATATTTTTTTTTTTAAAGTGCTAGACTTATTAATGACAAAACTGGGAGAGTCACTACTGTATCTCCAGCTTGTAAACTTTCTCACCAGCTTCTCTGTACTGTCCGAAGACCAAATCAGCAGGGTCGAGAGCTGCAGCGCTTCCTATATGTGTGCCCTCCTCCCCGTAATTGGTCATGTAGAATGAGATACGGCCCTTCAACACAAACGCAAACCAAATTTAAGCATTATAAACTGTCAGATGTCATTTAATTTCATTTTATGATGGAGTCAGTATGACGCTAAAATGCACCGCTCACCTGCCTCTGGGACTCGTAAAGAATACGATCCATCGTGTTGAGTAACGTCATCTTCTGATAGAAATTCAAAACCGTCTCTTTTGGAAGCTGAAACACAAGTAATGTTGTGAAGTATTTATTAATATTAATATTTATTCATTTCCACACATTATGGCTGCAACAGACTGACATGGATCTAATAAACTTGGGTACGACATGTATGTAGACTGGACGATGATGACACCTATTGAATCTAGGGCTACGACGCTAGTTATTATAGAAGAATAAACCGGCATCAGCATGAGCTAGTGGTGAACAAAGAGCAAGAAGAATCACACTTTGGCAATTGTGGTTTTTATGTGCGCTGAAATAAAGAGGAGGAAGTGAAAGAGGAGAACATGGACGAATCGTGGCGAGGGAAAAGAGGACAACTCGGCACATCAATCTTTCAAATGGAGCTTGAGGAACGTAGTTCTAAGTTTTCAAGTCTCGTTGATCAATACGCCATTTCATGTTGCATTTGTATTGGCTAGTCAGTAGACGAGATCGTAGCAGCAAACACACTGTGAGATGATCATGATAAATCTCTGACACTGTCAGAAAACGATCGCAGGCAATCTTTGGTCACAAGATCGTGACTACAGCCGTATTTGAAGCTCTCTCACTGTACGATGTAGAACCAGCGTTTAGGAGCCATGACCTCCGAAATCACCACGATTGGCCAAAGTCCAAAATCACACAACGTGTACCGGGCATTAAACAGAATAAAAGACTCCACACCTGAGGATCCTCTGATGGATTGATGATCTGGCCCTGTCTGTCCATCACTCTATAGACAGGGATTCCTGAGATCACATTGGGCTGGATAAACTCCAGATGATCTATAAACTCTGCCGAGGCTCCAGGAAACTGAGGCTTCTCCGCTGAAGAGTCAAACGACTGCTGGCCAAGAGCTCTCTGAAGACAGACAAGCAGGGAGTAAAGCACTTAAGTATCAGAGCGTCTATGCATTGTAAGATCTGATCGCATATTTTAACAATCGGACAAACACTGCTGCAAAACTCTCAGCTCACTAGGGTTTTAACAGCCAGTTACGACCTGCAGGTGAAACTCGAAAAAACTGAATATCATGCAAAAGTTAATTTATTTCAGTAATTCAACTTAAAAGGTGAAACTAATATATTATATAGACTCATTACTTGCAAAGTGAGATATTTCTTAGATATTTATAACAAATAAAGGCTTGAAATATCTCACTTTGCATGTAATGAGTCTATATAATATATTAGTTTCACCTTTTAAGTTGAATTACTGAAATAAATGAACTTTTGCATGATATTCTAATTTTTCAAGTTTCACCTGTAGTGATAAGATCTTTTATTTTCCCTTTGTTTTGGTTTTGATACAGCTTTAAAAACCTAAAGAGAAAAAATACAGTTCATAAGCTCTACAATATATGAATAAATAAGTAAATAAGATAAGATAATAAGATTTAAAATTTTATATATAAAATTTGTTTATTTTATATATCTTGTGCTTGGTGTAAAGTATTTGATTTTGTATATAAATATTCATTACTTATTTTAAGATCATTTTATTGTTGTTATTGTAATGTTTGATATATTTCTTTTTTCCTTGCCATTTCCTCGGTATAATGCTTAAGCAATATTGTATGTAAATACAATCATGCCAATGAAATTTAAATAAAAGTACTTCAAAGAAACATGGCTGCTTTGTGTTTTCCTACAAACACACACACACACACCCCTCAACCAGCCAATCGGCTCTCAGTGTATTAATCTAGCCTTGTGAAGGTTAAACAGTCCATTACCCACAACAACAACAACACACACACACACACACAGATCTGACCAATAGTTATAAGATTTAAAAATTACTAGATGACCATTACATGATCAGACGAGTCGAACGCAATTATCTTTGGTTTTTAGGTCAGCTGAGGATTACCTATACATTCGCATTAACATTATTCTAAGACTTAAACATTTTAAGCCTAAAGTTATTCATATTCTTTATATTTATATTAAGGTGCTTTGTTGTGCCATACAATCCAAATAGCGCCAAATGTGTTGAGGCTCGCGCAGCTACACAGGGTTCATACATCTGTTGGGCAACTTCTGTTGTTGAGAAAGTCCGTTCGCTGAGTTTATGCGACATTCATACACTTTAAACTTACACCGACGCGGAATGACCTTTTCTGGAGAAGCGTTGTTGCCCTTAATGCTGTATTTTGACGGATTGCATGAAGTCCAATGCCGTATAATTTCTTAACACTCCTGACAGCCGCCATCTTTACGTCAAGTGTGTGACGTCGACTCTTTCACTCCTCTGATGAAGATCCCATTCAGCGCGCCCCCTGCTGGACAATGTCGTGCAATACAAACATTCATACAGTTCTTTACGGTTATATCTGGGAAATGTATCCATTTATTTGTATGATAAAATAATTAAAACTAAAATTAGTTGCAGAAACATTTTGATTAATTCGGTCTAGTGGTCATCACAATACTTTTACCACTAGATGGCGAACGTTAGCCGTGTCGTCATCATGGTGCGCGCAAAACAATGACGTAAATGAGTGCGACGAGCGGATTGTGCGTGAGGACCATGATGGAGTTAGATCAAAGTTGTTTAGTTTTAAGGGAATATGGAAGTGAGCAGAGTTTGTTATCAAGACCTGACGGCTCTTCTACTTTCGTTCAAGGTATTTGCATCAGTTTTGTAACTGATGTGTTTCTTTATTCAGAGCGACTGGTTCCCTGTCAAGCCAAATAATGTCCAGCAGTCGGTTTGATTCAACCATATCTGTATTGGTTTGGATTTGTAAATGTATTTTCAGGGGATACTAGTATCCTGGCTGGAGTTTATGGACCAGCTGAGGTTAAAGTCAGCAAGGAAATCTATGATCGTGCTACTGTAGAGGTTCTCATCCAGCCCAAAATGGGGCTTCCAAGTATGTAATTTCACTTAAAATATTTTGTGTCCGTATACGGTTTCACTGATGTGAATATATAAACGTGTGTTTATGTATATTTGTGTGTGTGTGTGTGTGTGTGTGTGTGTGTGTGTGTGAGAGAGGGAGAGTGTATGTGTTTATTTGTTTGTGAGTGTGTGTGTGTGTGTGTGTGCGTGTGTGTGTCAAATACTTTGATTGTACCGGTATTTGTGATTGAATATTTATGATGTAGTTTCCAAATTTTATTCCATATCAGGCAATAAGTGCAGCCATTCCAAAATGATATAATCGTAGGAACTCTAAACAATATCCAAACACATCAATTATTATACCAAATGGGGGACATTTTGTTTCTTATTCAAGAAGCCATTTAACTCATCTATACGTCACATATACGTCACACACAAACTATCAAAATTTCCACTTTATGCAGACTTTAAAAATGACTTTTTTATGGAAAACACTTTATTTATAAAGGTTTTGGCAACAAAGTGTTTGAACATTTTTGGAAAGTAATAATCGTTTCAAGACTTTAATTGCCTTACTAACAATCATGTTAATTTAAGTGTTTAATGATAAATGGCTTTCATTCCAGTAATGACAGTATTCAAACACCTCTTCTGTCCAGACGCCTGCATATCCTGTTCTCACCGTTAGGTGTCAGTGTGATACACACTGAGTTTCTCCATCACATCTCCTCGTGTTGTGTTCTATTAGGTGTGTGTATGATATGATACAGACTGAGTTTCTCCATCACATCTCCTTGTGTTGTGTTCCTTTAGGTGTCCGAGAGCGCGCGCGAGAGCAGTGTGTGCGCGAGACCTGCGAGGCGGCTCTTCTGTTGACGCTTCATCCTCGCTCTTCTCTCACTGTCATCCTGCAGGTCGTCCACGATGATGGCTCTGTATCCTGAACACCAGCAAAACTAGCTCTAAAACATGTTAGATTAAAATTTAGACTGTACTAAAGCATAGAAATACCATAATATGTTTGGATAGATGTAGGAAACATGCTCTGAAAAACAATGCTACAGCCAGTTATACGACTTTGAAAGGTCATCTGGGTACTTTTTTACCCAGATGGACTATATAGTCTAGTAGGGTAGTATGTGATTTCGGATGCAGCCAATTACTTTGAATTTGGACTGCAGGACCCAGTTTAACCGCTAGCTGTCAATATTACATACTGCACCTTTAATATTATATGACCATGTTTAGTTACTGTTGTAGAGAGCCGTTTGTTTTTAATGCTTACTGGTCATTTCATTCATTCAAGAGTCTGTTGAACATGTTATAATTTGTTAAAAGCTGGCTTTGGGGTCAGTAATATTTTGTTTTAAAGAAATTAATGCTTTTATTCAGTAAAGATGGATTAAATTCATGAAATGTGACAGCAAAGACATTTATATTGTTACTAAAGATGTTGTTCTTTTTAATTCTATACATCAAAGAATCCTGAAAAAAAGTTTAATGGTAAATATTAAGCAGCACATCTGTTTTCTATGGAAGCTTGTTTCCGCCACTGAATTAAAACAAACAAAACAAATAATTGCGACTTTTTATCTCACAATTGCGAGATATGAAGTCAGAATTGTGAGAAATAAAGTCGCAATTGCGAGAAAAAAGACAAATTGCGACTTTATCTCACAATTCTGACTTTTTTTCTCACAATTGCGAGTTTACATCTCGAAATTCTGACATCTTTTCTCAGAAATGTGAGATATAAACTCGCAATTGCGAGTTATCAGGCCAATTCTAAGGGGGAAAAAAGACTAACTTTTCCCCCTCAGAATAGTTTATATCTCACAATTCTGACTTTATCTCTCACATTTCTGACTTTACAACTCGCAATTCTAACTTTATATCACGCAATTCTGAGAAATAAAGTCAGAATTGTGAGATAAAAAGTCGCAATTAACTTTTTTATTTTTCATTCTGTGGCGAAAACAAGCTTCCATAGTTTTCATCATTGATCATAATCAAAAATGTTTCTTGAGCAGCAAATCATCATATTAGAATGATTTCTGAATGATCATCTGACACTAAAGACTGGAGTACTGATGCTGAAAATTCAGGAATAAGTTGCATTTCAAAATATATTAAAATGGAAAACAGTTCTTTTAAATTGTAATGTTACTTTTGCAACCTCAGACTTTTGAGCAGTAGTGTACATTAATGTCATTCACACGGTGTCCCATCCTTATCTGAGTGTCAGCTGCTGTCGTGCTGCCTGAACGCCGCCTGTATGGCTCTAATGGATGCAGGGCTTCCCATGAGCCTCCTGTTTTGTGGCGTGACCTGCGCTATTAGCAGAGAGGGCCAGATAATCACAGACCCCTCGGCTCAGCAGGAGAAGGTACACTGCACTTCCGCCACAAGCCATACCGCACAAGCTAAGCTCTTGATCCGTGTCTCTTTATGTTTTCTTCTCCAGGAAAGCCGAGCGTTGTTAACATTTGCTATTGATAGCGTTGAGCGCAGTGTTTTGATGTCATCAACTTCAGGCTCTTTTTCAGTCCACGAGGTGAGCTCGGATGCATGTGATTCATTGCTGTTTGTGCTGATGATACATGGGTGTGTGTGTGTGTGTGTGTGTGTGTGTGTGTGTGTGTGTGTGTGTGTGTGTGTGTGTGTGTGTTTCATAACCTGCTTGAAATTTCTACAAGGCAATGAGATAAATGTGTTTTCTTCCTACACAGCTGCAGCAGTGCATCGCAGTCAGTCAAAAGGCTTCTGAACAGATCTTCCAGTTTTATAGGGATTCTGTCAAACGGCGATATTCAAAAATACAATAAAATATGATTGTTAGGATTTTTACTTTGAGTTTGCATTTTCATTTCTTTACTTATTTTCACTATAGTAAACTGTTCTATGTATAGGGCTGCCCCCTAATAGTCGACTAAACATTAGTCAATGAGAAGAGGCTTATTATAATATCGATATTTTGAAGAATATTGGTAATGAAACATTGAACAGTTGCTGTTGACATTTCTATAGTAGGAAAAAAGTACTGTGGAAGTCAATGGCTACCGTCTGGTTCCCTACATTCTTCAAAATATCTTTTTTTGTGTTCAACAGAAAACTTTTGAACAGGATAAAGATGTCCAAAAGTTTCTTATTTTGTTTACATATAAAAGATTTTTTATTTAGTACTGCCGTTCAGAAGCAACAGAAGATACGCACATGTTTCCCAGAAGACAAATGATCTTCAAATTCAGAAAGGAAGAACGTTGGGCAGTTTCACTGTTCAGGACAAACAAGGGACTCGAGAACAACCATCACAAAACAAAAAAACAATTAAGGGCACATAAACTTTTGAACGGAGTCATTTTTATAAATTCAGCTATTTATTTTTTGTTGTCTTGAGGACTATATGTAAACAACTTTTATGTAAAATATCTTATTCAGGACAGTACTAAATAAAAAATAACATGCATTTTGTATGATCCCTCTTATTATGTTAAAATTATTTACATTTTCACAGATTCTGCAAGGGGTTCACAAACTTTCAAGCGCCAATGTATGTGTCTAAATGTATATATCTTCTTTTCTTCTACAGTAAATTATATTGTACTAAAACTGGGTGATTTTCTGACTCTGTTATCATTGTATATGCATAATATATGAGCATGTTATGACCCAGCCACATGCTTTACACATCAATTTGTTGACTCCAAGATGCTATTTTTATCATTTCAAGCTTGTATTTTCTAGCTCATACCGCATAGTTTATTTTTGGTGCCATAATGAAAAATTTAATTAGATTTTCAATCAAGTGCATTTATTTGTTCATAACAGGTACCAGCGAAATATACATACACATATACACGAGATGAATGTAGAGGAGGAGGAAAATAATGACTTGTGTTGCTCTCGGATATCTCTGGTGTGGATTACTGATAACTGACTGGAGGGGCTGTGCTATCGCTCGATGGGGCAGCTTGTTGTAAAAGTAGTACATCATTTCCTACCATGATATGACCTAATTTGTACCAGCGGGGAGCTTGAAGGGCACCTGCCAAGGCAGTTTATGCTGACTGCTGTTTTGTGGCTTTAATCTTTTGGAGCAGGGCACATTCCAATCTTTAATGCCTGGTACACATTGTACGGTTTTGGACTGTCCCAGACGAAATATGACCAATCATGGTGATTTCTGTGGTCGTGGCTCCTACGTCATACAAGCCTAGTCAATAAAAATGCAACATGAAATGAAAAACTACTTTCCTCAAGCTCCATTTGCAAGATTGAAAAGCCGAGTTGTCCTCTTTTCCCTCGCCACGATTCGTCCATGTTCTCCTCTTTCACTTCCTCCTCTTTATTTTAGCGCACATAAAAACCACAATTGCCAAAGTGTGATTCTTCTTGCTCTATTTGTTCACCACTAGCTCATGCTGATGACGATTTATTCTTCTATAATAACTAGCGTCATAACCCTAGATTCAATAGGTGTCATCATCGTCAAGTCTACATACATGTCGTACCCAAGTTTATTAGATCCATGCCATAAAGTGTGATTTGTAATGCTCTTATAGGATTGCTGAAATCGTCTGTAGCAGGCATCAATAGTGTTGTATTCTGATTTTATTATCATCCACTTGACATTTGAATGTCGACTTTCTCTATGATGTACACTACCGTTCAAAAGTTTGGGGTTGATTTTGTAAAAAAAACAAAAACAAAAAACTTTCTTACCCCAGACTTATTTCTGGCATGTATATATTGTCAAGTTTAGGGAATCTATGGGTGCATTTGTATACTGATACTAAATCAGTCTAGATTAACAGTTCACCAGTCAAATCAATAACTAGGGTTACAAACATAAATATCCTGCTGAAAATGGGAGCGTCATTAATTGTATATGAATGCAGGTTGATTTGAAAGTATGAGAAATTTGATGTGTTTTATACTTTGTATTAAAGCACTCCAGTCGAAGCGTTGTTTGGCACTGCTTATCGCTTGCCTGTAGGGTTATCAAGGTGAAATGTAGACCCACAGAAGAGATCATTGAAGTATTAGTTGAGTGCTACAGCAAAATAAAGAGAGCCCATGCAGACTTACTATGGTAGAAATGTCACCAACTCCAGTTTTGAGCTTCCTATATCCCAGAATCCCCTTTTAACCAAGTGGATTTCATGACCTCAAGTGCATGCCTTCAATCGCACAAATGCAGCTTCAAGTTAATGACTGCCGAGACTGGCAAATACCCTTTAGTTCACATCTACAGAACATACATGTTATATGCTTAGCTCAGTATGAATATAAAACATTTAAAGATGTTTTCATACCTGCAAACTCGTTGCCTTTGGGTGAAACTCTTTATATGAATGTGTCTCTGACGGGAACCGGCCGTCTTCACAAAACGTTTGATGGCATTTTCTTTTTGTGCGACCTTCGCACAATACTTACTACAGTGATGTTAATTCACCTTATTTTTAATGTAGGAGCCATATGTAATTTGAATGTTAACTAGTTATCTTTAGCTGTACAAAAACAATCTGTTATGCTAATGCATTAGTAATTTAATTCCTTTTCCCTAGTTAAGTTATGGATTACTCTTAATTGTTCTGTAATCTAATGAGTTATTTCTGATGTAATTGCATTAAGTATTGTATAGACTTTAGAACAATTCTATATAAAACAATAGTGGATTTAACATCAAAATTTAACGTCTAATGTTTTTAATGTAACCTTCTCCTTTTAAATACTTTGTTAATCTGGCCGAGGTTAATATGGGATTATGAAGTAATTAGTAATCCAATGTTTTAGAGAGATTAATTACACTGTTGAAGATGTAACTAATAGGTTGTAATTAATTACTTTTTAACTACTTACCCAACACTGGTTATGCTGCTTGATTTTGCAAACTTGCTTTTTTAAAATAATATTACTTTCATTTATTATTGTAATCATGAACACATTGGTCTGTAGCGCAAACAGTTTTACCGTTTGCTGTACTTTATTGTTCTACTAGTTCTTTACCTATAGCATCTAATGAATCTGAAGTCTCGCACATTCACAGAAAATACATTAATTCTGTGTTGCAAAATAAGGTATTTCTGCTTTTCCATAAGTGCCACCTCCTGTCAGGGAGTGAATTTCATTTTCATACAACCAGTCTTAATATAAATCTTAATAATCTAAGTATGAAATACATAATCACTTATAATTTTGACTCATCATATTATTTTATGTGTTTAAATCTTTGCTTTTTTGTTTATTTCACAGTTTAGGTTGTTCCCGGTATCATTAGTGTTGTTTCAAACAACTTTGCAACCAAAACAACACATAGTTCTATTCTATTATGAGAATTTTATTTGTGCTTATTCCTGATTTGTTCCCTTGTTTGCCGGTCCAGAGTCTGCAGGTATGGTTTAGCTGATAGGTAAAAAAAACCGGAGTCTACATTTATCAAGCTATGATTATTCCTACAGGAGAAGGTTCAACAGTGAGTCTTCAGAAACGTTTCAATGCCGCTTTCTTTCCGTCCCGCCTGCGTAAACTCAGTGGTGTTTATAAGCGCAGCTCTACAGTGTGTACCGCTGTATTTCTGCTTTTCCACTACTCTCAGAGACTGACTTTGCATTTTCATTTAGCCATTCTGCAATTTTTGTTCAGACCAATTGTATAGAAAACACATGATTGTTTAGGACTGACTGATTCATCACCTTTTCCGCCGGTCCAGAGTTTGCAGGTATGGTTTAGCTGAGTCATATGAAGTGTCTCCATACAGTTTTGTTGGTAGGTAGACAAATGGAGAGTCTTTTATCAAGCTATGAATAGAGTCCTCCAGGAGAAGCTTCTCGTAACAACATGACTCAGTGAAATCTGCAGTATATATGTGTGTATTTACCATCGCATTTGAACTTCTGCCTGCGCATCCCTGTTTTGCATCCTCATATTTGCAGAATCTGCCTGAACTTGAACTTGTTTTCCATCTAGCAATTTCCAACTGAGTTCTAAAGTCATTTACTGTGGTGTTTTCACAGTTCAATTACCATCTTTAGAGCTCAGATAGAAAACGACCTAGTTTCCTCGAGTCGTGCGTCTCAGAGGGAAAGTCCTGCTGTTTCACAGCCAAGTCCGTTGTGATCTCCTGATCTCGTTGTCCTTGTCGAGTTCCCTTTCTAACAAACCCTTAGGCCTCGGTCCCTCTCTCCCCTGCCAAGTGTCAAGACAGAGCGCAGGTCTCTCTTTCAGATTTTACTCCGACCCAAATACAAAGATTTCAGCTAAATCTACCCTCTCTCCAAATGTAGCGACTTGATTTTTTCCCTAATCTAATGAACACTGTTACGATCTGAATCATCTCCATGTTCTATGAGCTTCAGACTCTAATATGACCACGGTGAAGTTGCAGAGAGGCGCCGTCTCTGCTGAACGGATGTACTTATTACAGATGTCGATGAGTGCGAGTATGTAAAGAGCAGCGGTTCGTGTGATGAGGAATCAGGGAGGTGTGTTTCTGGAAGATTGGAGAGAGGATAGTCTTTAGGGTGGTTTCCCGGACAGATAGGAGATCAGGGCAGCGATGGCACAGATGTAAGTGATGATGCCGAAGACGATGGAGAGGACGGAGAGCCACAGAGCCTGCCGAGATGCTGCGCTGGCACCTTGGAAATCTCCTTGTGCTGAAGCTTTGTTTGTCTGGAGTGGAGAAGATAAACAGAAGCATTAATCATAAGTAATGATGGACGTCCCTTTGCTCTCTCCAGGTTGTTTACCGTATGATTGAAATGGATGCCTGTTTTCTGTCATTACACTATCCTCTCTTTCATTCGTTTCTCTTCTCCATTCACCTTTGATCCCCTCATTTTAGACAACAGCCTGTGCGCTATTGGAAATCAATCACCAGAGGTCTCTCATTATGACACTAATTAAAGTCAGAATGAAATCATTGATCAGTCTAGTCGGCTGAACGTCTGGAGTGCCGCCTCCATTGAAAAGGTGCTTGAACAGAATAATAAAAGTTGCATCAAGTGGTTTACTAATCCTGAAAAACACCTTTCGTAAAGATGATCAATCAGGCGTGCGTTTTCGGTACAATGACGCAACTCGCTGCTTCACTACCATAGTACGATGCATCGTTGAAGAAATCAACTAGCTAGTCACGACTGTTTCCCGAAACCATATTGACGTAAATTTATCATTCAACCACGTTGGTTAATGATGTCACGCACGTGGTGGAGTAATAACTTCTTTTAATGAATCTGTTTGCTAGATGTTTCGCTATAAATGACAAACATGGCATCCGAGGACTAATTCTCATTGTTCTCAGTTATTTTTCTTTATTTCTAGATTCAATCATAGGCTCGTTCTCCCGCACTAGAGCACGTTCACACATGCGCACTCTTCAAAAACAGTGCTTTAAATCTCTTGACAAACTAAAAGACGTAAATGACATTTGTATATATTCTAAATCATAGATATAGATTGTACTGAATGTCAGCTATTTTGCTCAAGACAAGGATTTATTAAGTCAAATTAACTCTGCTTCTAACCACAGATCGAGAGCTGTCGTTACAAACACACAACTGTGCGATGCTGTTTGCGAATGTTCGTTAGAAGAACGATGGTTTCGGGAAACACCGACTCGTTGAACTATGCTGAAAACGACGGAAGTTGCGCATGGTTGGCAAACGATGCTTTCGGGAAACGCACCCCAGATTAGAGCTTTCGAGTTTTGCATGTGATATACATCAGGTGGTCAGCAAACGGTCTGTGATTGGTCGGTTTGAGTAATGCCTGAGGATGAGACAAGAAAGCTGAATAACACAAGTGCCTTGACTTGTTTTAGTCTTACATGTGCCACTTTGATTCGCTGGTGGCATAATCCTGCAAATCTCAGTGTAATCCTGCCTAAACCCTCAGGTGTAATGCCATAATGTCCACACTCACTCCCGAAAGAGAACTTGCCCTGAGCTTTCTGCTAATCTCTGCCACTTTCAGTCCATTTGCCCTTTAGACACAGAACAATGAACACGTCTGTCTGTCAGTGCATCTTTATATCGATCTTCCTAATAATTATCTATAACTAAAGGCTCTGATATTCTCACGGCAAAGTTCTTTTTTCTTCGCTTTGGGGCAAAAAGAAGTTTGACATATGTAGAAGCGATATACTGTTAGCAAACATCCTGACGTCGCCCACGCTGCTGAGAGCGCCATTTAGATGAATATGTTAATATGTGCTGCGCACTTTCCTCACAATAACAAAACAACCACACAACAAAATGGCAGTGATGAGAAAACAGCAGTTAAGAAAGTATCGGATAGTAGCGATGCGGATCTTTGCACAAGCTCTGCAATTCAGCACTCCAGCAGTCACGTCACGTTTATTTATTACCACTTTATACAATAGACTGCTTAAAAGCAAGCATCTTTACCGTTTTAAACATGAAAAACACTGTCAGTATCTCTTTCAATTAGAATTACAACTACATTTTCTACTATAAAGCCGCTCTCCAGTTTGTTCATGTTTTTACTCACAAATTTTCTCTTTTTGCCGTTTATTATAGTAGGACAGTTAGTTGACAGGAAGCGAAGTTGGAGAGAGATAGTGGGATGGGATCGGGAAAGGTCCACGAGCCGGGACTCGACCTCGGGACGCCCTAAGCGCAACTGAGCTTTACGCTGGCGTGCTGCCCACGAGGTGACAAGATTTCCATGTCAAAGGCGGAGCCTCAGAGCCACACCCAATTATTACATAATCGAAACGGACCAATGGTGGTATGAAGGTGTTTACCAGCCAGAGGAAACTTTTCCGTAAAGTTTGCTTTGGCAAGCTGTTTCCATCTCCTGAAACAAACTTCGTTTTGGCCTGATTTTGTTCGAAATGACGTCACACCAGTGATTTTGTGACTTTGATTCACTTTGTCTCTCTCTCTATCTATCTATCTATCTATCTATCTATCTATCTATCTATCTATCTATCTATCTATCTATCTATCTATCTATCTATCTATCTATCTATCTATATATATATATATATATATATATATATGACTGTCTGTCTCTCTCTCTATCTATCTATCTATCTATCTATCTATCTATCTATCTATCTATCTATATATATATATATATATATATATATATGACTGTCTCTCTCTATCTATGTCTGTCTCCATCCATCCATCCATCCATATCTATCTATCTATCTATCTATCTATCTATCTATCTATCTATCTATGACTGTCTGTCTCTCTATCTATCAATCTATCCATCCATCCATCATCTATCTATCTCTCTATGACTCTCTCTCTCTCTCTCTCTCTCTCTCTCTCTCTCTCTCTCTCTCTCTCTCTCTCTCTCTCTCTCTCTCTCTCTCTATCTATGTATGTCTGTCTCTCCATCCATCTATCTATCTATCTATCTATCTATCTATCTATCTATCTATCTATCTATCTATCTATCTATCTATGTCTGTCTCTCCATCCATCTATCTATCTATCTATCTATCTATCTATCTATCTATCTATGTCTGTCTCTCCATCCATCCATCCATCCATCCATCCATCCATCCATCTATCTATCTATCTATCTATCTATCTATCTATCTATCTATCTATCTATCTATCTATCTATCTATCTATCTATCTATCTGTCTGTCTGTCTGTCTGTCTGTCTGTCTGTCTGTCTGTCTGTCTTTCTATCTGTCTGTCTAACACTGAGTCTACACTGGATGTGAGTGGCTTGACAACAGCAAATAGCAAATAGAACCCATCTATATAAATGTAGATTAAACTACATTTGTTTGATATTCACATTCTGAAGTCAAAATGTATTTAAAGAGACTAGATGAGATGTTATTATCAGGCACTATGGAAGACTGCTGCCGTCCTCTATATATAATGGACTTCTAAGTGTATGATTTATAGGTTGTGTCCTCTTTCTTCCTGTCTTTTTTCTTTTCCTCTCCATTAGTTGGCATTCCAATCTCCCATGCATCATCTGCCATTTTTATAATATTTCACTGAAGGACATGAATGACATCAGAATTCTTAATGTTCATAAAAGATACAATGTTTAAAGCTACAATATGTAAGATTTTTGTAATAAAATATCCAAAAATCACTTACAATATCCCAAAAGTTCCCAAAGATTTTTAATTTCAGAGAAATTCCAATTTTAAATAATGTCACGTCCCTGTCACTTGTCGCCTGTCACTGACGTAATATCCGCGTTATCCCTGGTTTCCGCACGTACTGTCATAGTAACCATGGCGACAAACGTGGACAACTGCGTTACGTCTAGCGGCACGCTCACGCTGTTGTTGTTTCGTTCAGACATTATGGACCATGGCAAGCAGACTTTGGGACAAAAGGAGAACTAAAACGAGGATCAATATCAGCGTGGCGTTTTCGAGATGCCGAGAGCTCCACGTCCGCGACTAAATTCGACTTGACAGAGACGCCGCTCTTGCATGTACTTTATTAGACAGGTGTGCAAATGTACATAAAACTAATCAATGTTATATAGCTCAACATGATGAAATGTTAGAATATGATCAGTATGTTATTATTATAATGTTGATCTAGCTTACTGCTAGTCTCATACAGACAAACTAACACATTGAATAACATTATAACTTTCAACACGCTCAAATGCAGTTTAGTGTGATAGTGTAGACCAAGTGAAACAGCGCTGCGTTACCGCACAAGCTTCATTCGTCGAATAAACTGACCTGTGTGATTAGTAATACAGCACTTGCGGGTAGTTCGGTAGAATGAAATGTCCTTATTCCTTTATATCCACGAGACTCGCGTGTGGCACTGATATCTGTCTCTTACTAGCAATCGCGACCTGCTTCATACCACAGTCTTGTTAAAAACATGAATGTTTTCACAAATCCATAAACATTATTAGATCCATCAACATGACGACAAGTTCCATAATTCCGCTGATGCATCATCAACCTACGCCTTTGTTATTGTAAGAGGTTAGCGACCCCTAGCGGCGAGAAAAAAAGACATTTTGTAGCTTTAAGAGTAAAGGATATTGATAATAGTGCTGTCAATCATACGAGTGTCACATAGGACTCTGTATTTGCAATATGTGAACATTGTTGTATGGACAACAAGATTTATATATCCACAAAAGCTCAAGAGAATTGCCCAATACCTTTTGGGAAAGATAGAACGCAGCAATGCCCAGAGGCCAGAAACAACAGAGCATGGAGAAGAAAGCCAGGCCCAGGTAATCTTGAGGGATCATGATGGGAAAGTTGCTCTCACTGTCTGTGTCACTGAAGTCATCGCTGGAGGAGTCCTGTGGGTAAATATCACAATCATCAGCACCACTCAAGCATACAAGTCCAGAGAGCTTACATGTTACATAATGTCAATGGAAATGATTTACTGGTCAGAAATTAATTTAATTTGTCATAGGATAAAAGTTGTATTCATTTATTATTTATTGAATTGTGTGTTGTACTTAATTCCTCATAGGATCCTGTAAAAGGGTAGCCTGGCTAACGTCTGGGAACCACATGTTCATTTTCTCGTATTTGAGGCGGGGTTTACGAACGCCCAGAGCCGTTTATTGGGTGCTACGAATGTCTATCAAATGCGCCTGTATGTAGCTCATAGCCAATCATTTCAATTATACCAGATGACGTATGTAGAGCGAAAGAAATTAGACGAGGAAGAAGACGATGGGTCCGAGATTTATTTGCGTTCTAAACTACTTAGAACAATATCTAAGGCTGCATCGAAAGGTAACTTCGCGTCTGCTGCCATGTTTGATCCATAGGTATAAACAAACTGCTTCGGTGTGTCGCATAGCCGTCGTCATCGTCTTGCTGCTCCCTCCCCGTTCTGTGATTTGTCCCCTCGCTGAGGCGAAAATCTGGTCCATGGTATCCAGACTACCTAGCAGCGTGAATAAAATCGCGCTGCGTAAAGGCAGTATGGGGAAACCAAGGGAGTTTCAGCAACGCTATCTTACGACCAATTTGTACTAATTCGTACGAGCGATTAAAAGGTGGCTAATTCGTATGAATTCGTACGATTTGTCTAAACCCCAGTGATGGGCAGGTTTAGGGGCGGGGTCAGGGGTAGGTTATTTGTACGAATAATTCATACGAATTTGGCAACTCGTAAAATATGTACGATTTAGCAAAAATCGCATTTCGTACGAGTGAGGTCGTATGAATTCGTACGAATTATCCACCTCGTAAAATTCGTACGAATTGCCGTGAGATAATTATAGGTTATATAAATTGCTTTTCTAACATGTGAACTTCAAATGTAATTATGTTTAATCCTACAAAGGCAATGACTCGCATTCACTTTAGCTGTGCTGTAATAATTTTTTTCTGGTTTCTGTAAGATAATGTGACTGAATGAGGTTATGCCAAATGTGCGCTAGTCGTGCTGCATGCCTACAGGCCAATTCTGACTCATGTTTCATAAAAGAGCTGTGTTTTCAATTTGTGTCTTGTGTTTGACAACCCTGCTCATTTCACTGTCTCTACAACCAGTGTTTACATCCTTCAGATGCGAGTCATGTATTTTGTACTTCACTGACTTCACTGTAAAAAGGATTCATGCACTAAAAAAAGTATAGGAAAAAGGGAAGAAAAATGACACTTACAAGCATCTAAAGCTTTCCACTGTACACTAAATAACGCAGCCAGGTTCAGTTCTGAGCAGTAACTTACTAAAAGCATGATGCAACTAACTTCAAGCTACTTTTTTCAAACATAAAGCAGTGTAGCGTGACAAAATGCTATATTGCTGTATTTTTCATCAAATTTTATTGCAGCCCTGTGAGTGGATCCGAGGCAATATTAAAACACGCTCTCTCCTCTCTCCCATATATAGCATTGAGAAGTCAGATTTGAATTCCTTTCTCATGAATTCCTTTCTTCTGCTGAACACAAAGAAAGATATTTTGAAGAATGTCTGAAACCAAACAATTGATGGACCCCATTTTTTTTTCACCTATGGAAGTCAATGGTGTCCATCAACTGTTTGGTTACTGACATTCTTCAAAATATCTTCCTTTGTGTTCAGCAGAAGACAGAAATTCATGCCGGTTTGAAAAAACTTGAGGGTGAGTAAATAATTAACAAATTTTCATTTTTAAGTGCACTGTAAAAAATAATCCTGTAAAAAAATGGTAAACTACTGGCAGCTGTGGTTGCCAGCATCATACCGTAACTAAACGGTGTGTTACTGTTTTTGTGTTAGAGCATATAGCTGTTAAATTAAAGTTTTATACTGTAGCTGACAATACGGTATTTAGCTGTTAATTTCAAAAACAGTAACACACCGTATTTTTACGGTATGATGCTGGCAACCACAGCTGCCAGTAGTTTACCGTTTTTTTTACAGGATTATTTTTTACAGTGTGAACTATTCCGTTAAACTTCTATTACTGATTCCAAATTACATGAGAAAAATTGTAGTCAGTAACGTAATCTATTAGATGACACTTTTCAGGTAATAGAATCTGTACTTCCCAGCACTGTTTGAAACTCGTCTGGCCAAAATGTCAAAGTATCTTTAACAGTGGTCAGGTTCCTGTCAAATGTACTTTATGAAAGTTTCACGATGCATTTTAAATTATACGTATACCTCACAGCCATTTGAAATAAAGGCGTATGAATATTTCAAAGAGTAGCCTTGCAATCATGTTACCATGCCCCACATCACGTTTAAGCGCCTTCTGGTATTTAAATAGAGTAATATTTTATTAATGCTGTGTCATAGTAGAGCAGGTCCTCATAAAGCGCATACAGTCACTTGCCGGACTCAGTGGTTTCTCCTCTTTGTTAGCACTGCCTCTGCTCAGAACAGGTTTTTAAATATTTTAATGGCATCAGTTTTACACTTGACCTCCTGATGAAAAGCCCTGATGGCATGACAGCATGTGTAATCAGTGCTGACAGAGAGAACCTCAAGTGCTCTTTTAAAGGGACTGAGTGTTTGTGCTATGTGACAGGCCGCTTTTCAGAGGAATGCGTCTGTGCTCTGACGCAGAATGCTAAGTGTTTGAGTATGTTTAGCTTGAGCTGCGTGTGGTGTTTTTGACAGACATAAATGGTCTGATACTTGACGTGTTCTTGGCCGTCACAGGTAAAGAATCACCTTTTTTTAAGCCATCGATCAAAATTATTAGGGGTTAAGCTGAATCTGTAATCTGAATCTGTAATCTGAATCTTTGCTTTTCCCACCTAGATCTTGTTTGCTGGTGTATGAAATAGAAGTTGGCATGGAGCTCATCAGCATAGTGGCATTATTATTCACACGCCAGTGGACACAGAGCTTTCGATAATCACGCTGGGTTTGAAGGCCAGTGTCCGCGCTTCACATCCCCCACTGCTATTCATGCCATTTGATTTTTCAATTTAAAAGCTCATTCACCTATCACTGACTGTACAGCATTTGAATTCCACATTTGTGCTGCAATATCCAGAGCATTAGAGGAAATGCACGGCTTAACGGCTAGGTGATTTTCTATTTTTCAAATGCAGAAAGCTATGAGGATTTGGACTGTGAATGAACAACTGCGAATCCAGTAAACAGAGAGTGACTTGGCATGAACTCAGTTCACTCTTCTCTTCAGAGTCCAAATACAACAGCAAGGAAGAAATGAGCCAAAAAGGAAAACCAAACCACCGCACACCAAATTGAGAGGGAAAATTGCCCATCCAAATATTATTACAATTTAAAGTAACATTTCTGGTTTAATATATCTTGAGATGTTATTTATACTTGAGGTGGCAAAGCTGAATTTTCAGCATCATTACTCCAGTCTTCAGTGTCACACGATCCTTCGGAAATATGTAATATTAATCGAATACTTTTTGCGGAAACCGTGATACTTTATTTTTTTCAGGATTATTTGATGAATAAACAGCATTTTTTGAAATTCTACTTTTTGTAGAAGTCTTTATTGTCACTGTTGATCAATTTAATGCATCCTTGCTAAGTATTATTCAAGAAAAAATCTGACTGACCCCAAACTTTTGAACATTAGTCTACTCTAGGCCACAACTTTTTGTCACAGGTTTTTACATTGCCTTCATTTATTATTGCTATACTTTTCAAATGCCTTTTGTGCATTTTTTTATCATGATCTCATTCTTTCAATCTTAAACTATGAATCTGCATTATAAAAATAATGAATTATTCCATTTAAAAAATGTGATAAACATAGTGAAATGAGCACAAACTATATGTATTTAAACATTCATTATAAGTGCACTCTCTGTAGTTAAAAGGATAGTTCACCCGAAAATTAATTCTTTCATAAATTTCTCACCCTCATGTCGTTCCAAACCCGTAAGACCCGTTCATCTTCCGAACACAAATAAAGATCTTTTGGATTAAATCTGAGAGCTTTCTTTGAGCTCAAACGTGTTGCGTAACACAAGAATGAACCTCATTGGTCCTCGCAGTCGCACGTAAAGCGAACATGATTGAGCTTCTGTTTACCACAACCGGTGTGTGAGTTGATGACTTTTTATATGTTCATTCAATCTGTTCATCATATAAAGCGATCGAGTCTCTTCAGAAAATTTGCACTAAACCACTCAATTCATATGAATTAGTTTTACGATCTCTTTATGAACTTTTTGAAGCGTGAAAGTGGTAGTTGCGTAGCTGTCATTGGAGGGACAAAAAGCTCTCAGAGTTCATCAAAAAGATCTTAATTAGTGTTCTGAAGATGAATGAAAGTCTTACGGGTTTGGAAAGAAATGAGGGAGAGTAATATATGAAAGAATTTAAATTTTGAAGTGAACGGTCCCATGTATAGAAACACCCATGTATTGTATTCTGGAGGTAGAAGCCTTACCTCAAAGTCTGGCAAAAGGTCGTCCCCATCTTCTATGCTGTAGGACACACTATGAACATCTCTTGTCTCTGCAAGCAACTTCCTTTCCAATGGTGAACCAGGACCAATGTCCACAAAGGTGGTTTCCAGATACTCCTTACTGTGGATGCCCAGGGAGTCAGCGGCGGCCCAAATAGTAGTAGGAGGATAAAGAGTCTCTAGAGTGCTAGGCAATGAACACGGATCCAGTAGCTGATGCTGTTGAATATCTGCAGAACTGCAATAATTCCTCCAGTCCAGAGGGGGCAGTCTTTTGTCCTCCTCGTTCCTCATCAATATGCCTTTGAACAGTCCACCACCACTTGAGTTTTTGGGGCTGTCGCCCAATAATGGATGTTCTAGTTCATCCAAATTCTCCATTTTGAGAGATCTGGATTTGACATCAACTGATGCTTTCCGGCTGATCTGGCCAACAGTCGTATTCTTAAGAATATGTCATTTATGTGAAAGCAGCAACACAGCAGTTTAAACTGAAGACTTTTTGGTTGATTTCTCGCAGATACAAGCATAAACCTTAGCTGGAAAACTAACTCATGTGCTCCTCCATCTCCTCCGAGAGCACTTATTTTAGTGCATGTGTTTAAGTGCACAGAGCTCTTGAATATTACATTTTCTTCACATGTCAGAAGCTGTTTGTTTCTTCGCTTGATGCCTGAATGCAAGATCCATGTAGCACATTGTACACGATTGGTTATATCTCAGCCCATAAATATGCTAATGTGCTTCATTTTGCATGAAAAAAAGATGGAAGTCATTTCTGACGATGGAGCACCGTGATTAGCAACCGACTGTAGACGGGTTGTGAAATTGTGAGGATTTTAAGCGTGAACCTCCCTTCTGCTCTCACCCATTCAGACGAGGGGACCGAAATGTTTTGAACAGAATTCTGTAATGGGAGACTTTTATCTAAATATGTAGTGGAATAAAAATAGCTGTGAATTAGACAGACCAAAGCTGATAGGAATATTCTCTGAAGTGCCAAAAGCTTTGAAGGAAGTCTCACTGTAAGTGCAAAAAATAAAAGCATTGACAGGAGGTTGAAAGACTTATCAGCTATGCACCTATATATATATAAATATATCGTTTTTGTCTCCTGGTGTGTTTTCAGAGACTTCAGACGTCTACAAAAATAGTATCCTCGGGAGTGCGGCTTCTGGTCAGCAAGTGCTCAAGAAACCCATTCCGTTTGTAGCCGAGTAGAAATGTCTTGATGAAGAAATCAGTGCTTGGGAATTGATTTATAGCACTAGCTGAGACCCGACAGCTCTTGCAGGGACCTGTATTTTTAATGCGCCACGCTCTCCCAGTCGAGTGAAGTCTCTCAGAGCCGTGTCCGGCACCTCTCACCTCTCATGTTGACATTTGGACGGGCCTGCCAAAAAGAAGAGAACAGAGTCAGAAATAGCGTTTAGCTTCAGTGCACACAAAAAAACTCTCGATAAGTGATCCCCAAGTGTCTCTATCTTATAAGGCCAGTCTGATGTAATGTTTGAATGGCAGGATGGTATGTGTCAAAGGAACGGACACTAATGTACTCGACATCAATGTACTCTTCCAAAGAGCACGTCTGTCTCAAAGGCAAAGAGCATCAGTGAGAGGGCAGAAGACTCGTTAGTTTGGAAATATGAGAGGGCAGCGGCCCAAGTTCCCTTTAAAAATGTTAGATGGGCATGACGGTTCGAGAGCAGACCCTCTGGTGGATCGTGATGCGTTACACCTCATCTAGTCCACTTACTCGCTCTGTATACAAATCTCTGTGGCCCTCACCTAAAAACAGCCTCGCCACTGCCATCTGAAATCCAGGTCTGTGGCTCCAGGCAGTGTATCCATAAAAAGATATTTCCAATGTAAACACCTGGACGAATGCCTGGTTACAGGGGCGTAATTTGTGGGGGGGATGGGGGGGATATAACCCCCCCAATATTTAAATCTATGCATTACGACCCCCCCATTATTTATACCATGATCACAATATCAGGAGGCATACCCAAACTTCAACCCCCCCAATGTTCAAACCAAATCTACGCCCTTGCCTGGTTATATAAGAGCGTCAGGGTGAAATGCAGCTTGTGATGTGGATATGATATTCCCTTCACCTTGCTTCTTTTGTCAGTCACTCATTTGTTATCAGGATGTGAGCCATTTTGATTATGTATCAACTGCCGACTGCTTTTCTTCCCCCATGATAGCCTCTGGTTTACTGAACCAATTACTCTTTTGAATACATCGTATATTGTAATGTGTATATTGTCGTGCATTTGTTATTATGCATTTTATTATGAGTAGTGTCCCCTTACTGCAGTGACCTTTTAGGGTGCCATTTGACAGATTGTATTAAAGGGATAGTTCACCCAAAAATTTAAATTGTTATTAATAATTACTCACCCTCATGTCGTTCCAAACCGGCAAGATATCCAAAGCCTAAATCAAATCTGTTCATCATATAAAGCGATTGAGTCTTTTCAGAAAATTTGAACTAAACCGCTCAATTCATATGGATTAGTTTTACAATCTCTTTATGAAGTTTTTGAAGCGTCAAAGTGGTAGTTGTGTAGCTGTCAATGGAGGGACAGAAAGCTCTCAGATTTCATCAAAAAGATCTTCATTTGTGTTCTGAAGATGAACGGAATCTTACGGGTTTGGAAACGACGTGTATCATTAATAACAGAATTTTAATTTTTGGGTGAACTATCCCTTTAAGAGTCTCAGATTGGCATTAATCCACCTGATGTTGACCTTTATTTGACCAGCCATTGGCTGAAGAGTCTCAGTCAGTGGGTGTTAAAGAGAGCAACTTGGTCCGATCAGAATCTGCTGTCACATTTCCCAGGAGCCCCTCTGTCAGTCAGTCGGCCCCTGAAAAACCAGGATGACGGTCTCAGAATGATAGGCATCTGGTGCAGGTGAGCGTCTGTCTCTCATGCCAACCTTGTGCTGTTTTCAATCAGTCCTCTACATGCCTGTCTGCACCAGTCTGACACACCTGACATCATCTCTGGCAGTGGCATATGTGTTTACCTGAGGCATTGATGATGATTTTATAACAATTTAGTATGTAAATTAATATAGGGTTAGGATGCACGCCGCATCATTTAAAGTTGTTAATGGATTCTACTAAGTGTTAATTGAAACTTTGATAAAGTGATCTAGCATACTTAATATTAATGATATGCAAGAATACTGCATTAGAAAAAAAAGCTATTTAAATTTAATTTAAAAATTGATTTTAACGATATGCTCAAGGCAATCATTTGCCCTCTGCAGTGTGTGTGAGTGTGTGAATGTAATATAAAGGATTATGCTGCTATAAAGAGATTCAGTCGTCATTTATTCAGCTTTCGAAACTTTCTTTGGAACACAAATGAAGTTTAGCAGACTCTTCTTTGCCATATAATAAAAAGGGAATGATGGCCACAGATATCAGGCAGGATTTTCAGTGGATCAGTTATACTGTGAATATTGTGCACAATGCCTTAACCTTTTAGATTCTTTTATTGAGCATATTTGTCTTTTCTTTAGTCCTCGTTTCATTGTATTGAAAAGAGCAACTTGAACATTCTGCGTAAACTCTGTCATTTTTGTGTTCCACATTAAAAGAAAAGTCAATTTATAATTTGGATGAACAGTCCAATTAAAAGTCTTTATTCAGCAAGAATGCATTAAATTACCTAAAATGACAGTAAAGACTTTTACAATGTTACATTTTGATTGATTTGTTTATTTTAGTGTCAAACACTATGGGCTTATTAGACACTACAGTAATAATTTCACAAATATCTCCAAGTAGCCACATGACATAACACAGAACCCAACATAGCATAACTAAACCACTAAAAATTAGTACACATACAAGTAGAGATGGCTTTTCATGTGGGATACAAAATACTTTTGTTACAAATGCTGTTCTTTTGAACTTTCTATTCATTAAAGAAAAATAAAAAATTGCATGTCTTTTTCATATTAATGTTTGTGAGATCATGGCAGCCGAAAAAATATGTTTTGCCCTCACATATAAATATATTGAAATATGTTTTGAAATATTTTATTTTAAATCGTAATATTTCTAAATATTTTTTATGGAGCTTTGGTGAACAAAATACGTATATACTACTGCATGTGTTATTGCTTTTGTCACTTGTTTGTATGGAGTTTTAAAATAAAGCTGAAAAATAGAGATGAAAAATTGATTCATACAGTTGCTCACTCATTAGATCATTTTTTTGGACGGCATAACAGATGACAGTCAGTTCTGGTTAAAGGTTTTGACACTGTTTTTTTGTTCTGGTTCTAAACAGCACATTTTAATTGGCAATGGAATATTTCTATTTCTAAATGGACTATTTTCTCCCAGCCCACAGTTTTCTAGCCATATATTCAGTTGCTTTGCCTCGAATAGAAAGTCAAAAAAGGAAATCTGATTTCAGCAGCACATAGAGTGGCATGATAAAGAAAGTAATTGACTCTATGGTGATGCATTTAGATCAATAAAGTTGAAGCAAAATCGAATTGCATCTGATTTTATACACTATCCATTACCATATGAAGATATATGGAGCAGCGTACGAGACTGTGGTCTGGATAGTGGCATTGAGAGCTGAAGCCTGCATTACTCTGCTTCATATTGCTTTGCTCTGCTCTCCTGTCGTTCTCCTCCTCCGCTTGTGGTCGAGCTCTTGAGCGCAGACCGAGCGGCGGGGTGATAATTCAGGAGCAGATCCCTGCTCTCCCTGACATCAACATTACTGCAGTGCACCTCCAAACACACTGGATGGAGAGGGCCACAAACATCAGAGCTGCACCCACACTCATTCACACTGTGTATGGCTCTTAAAGGGACAGGCCACCAGAAAAGGGAGTTCTCACCCTCATGTCATTCCAAACCTTTCTTATGTGGAATATGCAATGACAGATGTACGTCTTTTGCATTGTAACTACAGAAAATCTATTCATTTAGATTTGAAAATTAATTTGCTGTTGATAGTGGACTAAATGATTGTAGAAGTCTGAAGTTTTCAACAGAAGATCAAGTTATGACATTTTGATTAAACATCGCAAGGTAAAAAATGTAGCCGTCAACTAAAAGTTTGGAATAATATGATGTTTTAAGGTTTTTGAAAGTATATTTTGTCTATTTGATCAAAAATACAGTAAAAAGGTAACTGTGATATATTATACATTTTTAAGAACGGTTTCTATTGTGATATATTTGAATGCATTCCTGTGATCAAAGCTGAATTTTCGGCATCATTACTCCAGTCACATGATCCTTCAGAAATCATCAAACAATTGTGCTGCTTCATATTTATATGGAAACCATGATACATAACTGTCTGGATTTTTTTAATGAAAATCATACATGTTTCAATACTGTAGAAGTATTGTTCATTATTAGTTCATGTTAACTAAAGTAGTTAACTAATTTTAACTAATAAAACCTTATTGTAAAGTGTTACCTAAAAAATATGTCTGTTTTTACAGTATTTTTTATCAAATAAAATGCAGACTTCTTTCAAAAACGTAATTATTCCAAACTTTTGACTGGAATGATGTAAAATTCAGGATCAAATTAGTCTTTTAAGTCACAAAACATGTTTTCAGTCTTCAAATAAGTCTTTTTCTATCAGAAACCATGGGATACAGCACAAGAATTAAATAGATCACTTTTATGATGTTATTATGGTGCTTTTTTAAGCTTGAAAGCTCCATTTGTTGTCATTATATGTAAAAGAGAAAAAAGCACATCATTAAAAATATCTTCTTTTGTGTTCCAGAGAAGAAGAAAAGTCAGGTTTGAAATGACATGTGGATGAGTAAATGGTGGCAGTGTTTTTCATTTTTGGGTGAACTATCCCTTTAAGCGAGGATGGCTTGATTCCAGAGGAGATGCACTCAGCTTTATTGCTAACCCATAAAAGGACTGCTGTCAGCTGCATTATAAGCCTGATTTCTGCCTCACACATAAAACACCCGGTCCGTTGGTCGGAGCTCTACA